TAACATAGACTGAACATAGGAAACGTCCATTAACAGCGTTAAAATTGTACCATTTGGCCAGTTTTTGCTCTTTAATATTTTGAAGCTAAACTATATTTTACTATTACTTCCGCTTTAGTCGGAACGTATTCTCCATTTTTTCCTTTAAATAAATATTTTACGAAATCATAATAAACTGTCATTTATAGATTAGCATCTTTATATGTATTTCTTTAAAGTATAAAGATGTGATCACTTTTTTTCACTTCACTATCGATGAAGGTGGTAAGGAATACTCAATGACATTATTTATTTTTAAGTTACTCTAATAATACAAAAAAAAAATACTTAGATACAACAATATTTGAGAATTTTAAGTAAATTACCTAACTTAAGCTTAAGAACATACATTAAAGTATCATAAAAATACCATAAATAATTTCAGAATGTTCAATTCACATGCAATCATAAAACCCTAGAAACTGCGAACATGTTGCATAAATTTGATTTCCGAACCCTGCGAGGAGCCGAGCGTCGCCCGCTAGCTGCAACGCGCCGGCGAGCTGCGAGAAGCGCCAATAACAATTTCAGTAAAACTCACCGCTTTACTAATTGCGTTCTCGTTGACAAATGTTGCGCTTTTAGACTATGCAGCCGGCAACGGGCGGGCGGAAGTGGGCGGGCGAGCGGCCGAGATGAATTTGTCACAGGTCTTTGTTTCCCTTACACCTACTCTTAAAATTCAACTGCATTAACGTTCTTCCTTTAGAAGCTCATCATATACGTGACTCAATGAAATCAAAATATCTATAAATATGAGTAGTTTTGTTTTCAATATAAACACATGCATAACAAAAACTTAGAGCATAACATTACAAAGACTAACAAAACAAATTAGACATTATTGAATATATCTAATATATTTAAACGAGCAATTCTTGTGTATATATATATATATATATATATATATATATATATATATATATATATACATATATATATACATATATATATATATATATATATATATATAAAATTTGAATCTCGGAAACGGCTCCAACGATTTTCATGAAATTTAGCATGCACAGGGTTCCGGGGCGATAATTCGATCTAGATTAGTTTTATGTCTGTGAAAACGCGTGTTTTCGAGTTTTCATGCGGTTTTGTTTCGCAGTATTCCACGTAAAATATGTTCGCTAATTCGCACGTTAGGACATAAGCATCGAGGTCAAGCGGCCAAGGCGGAAGTTTGACAGCTACAGGTGTCTGGGTTCGTATCCCAGTTGGATACAAAGTTTTTACTTTTGTTTTTTTTTTGTATTTATTCAAATTTTTAGTTTTTTTTTTTGTTTTATTGGCCAAAAACTCCGAGCGAAGCTCGGTCGCCTAGGTAGTGATTAATTAAGGATTTTCGATTTTCAAACATAACAAGCTACGTCTGATTTTCTATCGCTTAAAATAATAGAACTCTAATTTTAATTAAACGTCAATCCAAAAGACCGTACAAAATTCTTAAAATAGTCGTAGAATCATTTATAAAGCGGTGCGCGGCGGCGGCGCGCGGATAACGTCAGCCGCGTCATCGCCCGCTACGGCGCATTACTAGATAATGCGGGTGTGGCTCGGGACCTCGGTCGCGTGTAATGCAGCGTTTTCCTAATTAATGACCTCCCGGAGAGAGGATCCGACGTCTTGAATTCATTAGCTCTGATTAATCACCGCCGACCCTACAGCGCGAGCCGCGGGCCTCCTGACACCTCCGCGCCAACCCAACCGCACTCACTCGCTCATTCAACGCACTCAATGCAGTATTAAGATAGATAGCACCGAAACCCAAATCATTTATTAAAAGAATCCATTTCTTATTTTCAGTAAAGGAATATTAAAAAAAATGTTTATTTAATCATTCTTAATTTACCTCTAGGAGGCTGCAGTGTCATCGTATCTCATATTGACATAACAGCGGGACCGCAAGTTTTATTCAATACTAGGTTAATACTCTACGTTGATTCCACATACAAACATTTATTCCCATTTTGACCTCCTTAAGGGATGATCCGGGATAAAAAGTATCCTACGTTCTTCCCCGGGGCAAAAAAAAACTTATTTTAGTAAAAAAAATCTTTTAATTTTCTTCTATACAATACTTGTACCTGACAATAACAAACACAATAAAAAGAATTATCCAATTTGGTGCAGTCGATCGGAAGCTATGCGCGTACATATGTACATTTCGGTGACTCATTTTATTTGTAGGTATAGATTTACATACTCTGTAATGACAAAGAACTCAATAGTTATGCAATCATAAGCCTTTACTTGAATGACACTTCGATACAACTATATTAATTAAGCATTTGCTATTATAATTCGGTTAAATATGTAATTACCTGTAAGAGTAGATTTCAAGATTTAACAGCAATCCTCAGAACGCTTTATAATTAAAGCAATTCATAACAGGATATTTTGCAACGGAACACCTTCGCTCAGCGATACATTCGCGTCGCCCCCGAGGGAAATTTCATGTCACTCAATTTGCGCCCATCATTATTAAACATTTACCACAATTAGCCGCCCTCGGAATGCTCCCCTTTATTAACCCTTTGAACCGCACGTTACGTGTACTTTATCGTATTAATGCTCGTACCGATGAGGAAGATTGCTTGTCAAGGGTAACAGAGAGCAAGCAATATCTGGGATTCCGAGAATAATACTTATATTAAATATACTTATAGCATCACAATCTAGTTATACTAAAACCTTATACACTTTTATTGCATTGTCGAAGCCCTTTCATATTATTTTACTTTTTGCTTTTCTTATTACTAGTTAAATACTCTGCCGTGAAAACGCATATTGCTTGGAAAGTTCTATCAATCAAGGTTTAATAGATAAAGCTTTTAAGGCTAAGAGAAGCGTATCCTTAGCAATAGGGTTCTGTCTCTTTCAGTACGAAATTCTTAACGTCAGATTAAAATATTTTATTAATTTGACTTCAATTTTCTTGAAAACAGTGTGTGGTAACAATAGACATTGTTCCAATTAACAGTATTTCCGGGAACAACCTATAAACTTCATCACTCTATGTACCATCATAATAACTAGCTTGTGTCATAAAAACGCTCACTTTAAAAACACTCCCTGTCTGAGCTCATTGATCGGCCAAGATGGATGTGCTTCCACATCTTTACTAAAAATGTTATGACAATAACTAAAAAATTACTCTGACACCTTCAGTCTCTCTCGTGACCATGATATACGTAAAGCATTCGAAACGTCAGAAACCAAAAATCGAAATATATCCGCAAAAATCCAAAAAGCACTGCTTAAAATTTCAAATATTCTCGTAAATGTAAGAAAGTATTAAAACAACAAAAATTTAAGCCTGTAACTCCACGCTCGGATGGCCAAAAAAATTGTAATTAATATAAGTCTGTACCACTCTGAACTGTTTAAATGAGTAAGCGCGGCTTCCTACACCCCTCCACCCCTCCCCCTCCACCGGACACGCACTTTCTTTTGCTAATGCTGGACTATTACCGTCGAGAAGGTTTTCTTACAGATGTTGTTGTTATGTTGTAAATAGTGTATTCCCAAAAGGCTTTCAGTAAATTGAAAATGACCCTGTATATCGCGACACTAATTTGTTTACTTTTGTCTTAGGAAAATACCAGAACGCATTTTATTATCAATCTTCCACCGTCAATTAAACGCCTCGCCCCGCACCCCGCGCCCCGCGCCCGCCCTGCGCCTCGCCCCGCACCCTGCGCCTCGCACGCTTGCGCCCGCACTGCTGTGACTTTGGACTGCAATTTCGTTGGTATTTGAAAGATTTCTATGTAACGTATTCCTATTTCTAACTTTGTTAAAAATACATATGCCTATCTATGCAGACGTTTAATTTTTCACTTTATTATTTTAATTTGCACATGTAATATAACTTATCAATTCATTGAAACCATAATTACCTAATCATGCTAAAATTTATATTTTTAGGTTCATATCAGAGTATTTATTGGAGTGGTAAAAATGATTTCGAGAAGATACCTACTGTGTAAATAACTCTTCAGGACTTGACGTTCTAATCAGATGGTTTCTAATAACCAATAGAGCTGGTATTTATATAAGTTCTACTCTAAACCATTTTTTCTTTTAATATTCATTATTCTAATTTATAGCATTGCTCTAAAAATTGATACGCACCTAATTTTGAATAAAAAAATTATACAATACACCATAAATTATGATAAGATATAGATAAAATATATGTGATAAGGTAAATAGCCCAGTCATTTGGTGTTCAAAAAAGAGGTTACCTGAAAAGTTTTCCGTGTGATCTTTCCAATATGTCGGCGCGAGCGGCACAGATACGAGGTGGTAAAGTAGAAATTCGAAAAGAGCCAGTCGAAATCTATAAAATCACCAATTTTGAAAACACCCGGAAAACTTTCCAGGTAAAACTACCAAATGACTGGACTAAAATCGCAACTGATTCATTTCGTGTTTTTGTACAATAACATATTACCTTACGCGTATAAAATGGAGGATTTATTGTTAATAATTTAAATAATAAATTATTCAAAATAACGTCGGTAAAGCAAATGCTAGAGATTGGGCGAGCGAGCGAGGACACCGCATGCGGGCCTGATGCGCTTATCGTCCCGCTCCGAGCCCCTTCGAGCGAACAGCCATTGATTTCACCGCATGTCATGTTATCTCAGAAACCATATCTATATGGCGGGCTCCATGTTTATGTATAATGTATGGGAAAGGTTCTAATTTAGCAGTGATATGATTCACATTAATGTCGAATCAAAATTCAATTCAATAAATTGTAAGGGCTCCAAGGGTTCCATGCATATTAATATATTTTTCAAATATATTGATCAACCTGACCTAAATGGAACCTGACGGAAATAGATTTATTTAAGGGAAACAAATAGAAAAAGAAAAAAATATTTATCAAAGTAAGTAATTACTAATTCTACCAAATTAAGAAATTGTCGTCCAGGTTTATTTTAAAGCCAATGTTTCACAAGAGTTATTAGAAATGTCGTCCAAAAGCTGACACGTGTTTTATAAAGAAAGTTAATTAAGCATCGTGATAGAGATTTAAACATGTCGGGAACAAAGTCGGTGACGGCGTGCAATCCTCGCCGAGCGTGCATTTGTCGGCATTTGGGCAGATTTGCCTGCGAGCGGCTTACAGGCGCGGCGTTTAGACTAATCCGGCGTGGACACGCGCCGCCGCCCGCAAGCCGATCATGTCCCCGTCCGCGCACACGCTTTGACAAACCAATACTCCAAACCGATCTGTGGTCTCTTTGATCCTTATTCCTTAATGCAATCATATTACATTTTTTATTACCATTTAACAATAATAGCATACACTTCAAATTGTTCTGTGTCAACAAAAAATTGTAAATTTAATATAGATACTTAAATAAATTTATTATTCTTATCTTTATCAAAAGCAACTTGTCATATGAAATTGGCTTCCACGTCCGTTAACAAGCTCGATCCATTAAAAGCGTGATAAAATACTGAATAGAATATTTACATAAATCCAAGTCGTGAAATAAGATTCCACATGACTGAATGAATTAACGCCATAAATATATCGTGATCTTTATTCATATGTAACAGAACTGGACTAGCCTTCTCCTGCAATTTTATTAAAAAGTGTTATCTCTTTGTATTTTTTCATACGATATTTTATCAGCTATATGTACATGTATAGCTAAAATAAGGATTTAACATAAATTCAATTCGAGTGCGAATAGTGTAAGAATCAAACTCATGACCTTCAAGTACTACTGGCTTAATCCATAGCACCATCTGTTGGTAACAACACAACGAAGTCAGTAATAGACAACTTTTGATTTTATTATTACAGGGTTGAGCTTATTGTTTTCCGTCGAAATATATCTAACTTAGCACGAACGTAAAATGACGCGAAAGTGTAATAAAGTGAAGACGTCGCCATCGTAATCCAGCCACCAACCAATCACACGGAAAAATCACAGACAAGACTTAGCGGTAAATAAAGCTCTTATTCGTCACACACTTCTTCAAGTCGTCGTTGAGCGTGAAATTGTTTCATATCAGTGCGGTGCGGCTCCCGCTCCGACGGCGGCCGCACTCGAACAGTTCTAAGCTCCATTCTAAACACCAACAGAATAGAAAATTATGATTTTCCACCAAAATAACCACAATGTGTATATAAGCCTCGCTACTGTTAACATCTTCAATATATATTATTTTGTACAATCTGACTATTAAAACTCTTAAAGTTTATTACTTACTTACTCCTTCTCGCTAAAATGGCTGGACGGCTTGGATTAAAAAGTAGGTACATAGATAGATTGCCTGGAGTAACACAGAGGCTACTTTTACTAATAAAATTTCTAAGCTGGGACTGCCTCCATATAATAGTATAAACACAATGCAAAGATGTACCCGAGCGTAGCGAGAGATAGTCGTTACTTATCTTAATATACATACTTCTGTACGTGTGTTAACAACTTACTCCTCCTAAATGGCTAGACCGATTTCGATGAAATTTTGTATGTATATTTCAATAGGCTCCTGGATGGTTTGAAAACACAATTGAACCAGGTAGGTGGCGCTGTAGTTGTTATGTTACTGATCATCTCCTAAACGGCAGGGACGGTTTTAATGATATTTTTTGTGTATGTTCGAGTGGGTCCCTGCAAGGTTTGAATTCACAAATGGATCCCTTAGGTATCGCTGCATTCGGTGTGTCACTAAATTTTCCTAAAAGACTCCATTTTCCGAACAATAAATAAATTTAAATTGTTGATAAAATAAAATAAAAATCGATGTTTCCTACGGACTCCAAAACAGCTGGAGCGATTTTGATGAAATTTTCAGTTAGTCTTGAGATTACCCCAGCGGGCCCTGTGAATTTTGTTAGAGATCGGAAGTTTGGACGCGGGCGAAGCCGCGGGTACTGCTAGTATAATATATTTTTCTTATCTTGATAGATGAGATGTATATATGTACATATTTCTGTCAAATGGTAATAAAAAAGTCTAATATTATTGCATCATAGATCAGGGAAAAAAAGCAAAAATTATTTATATAACTTGTTTAAATGCTCTTGTATGATAACCTACTAGGAACAGATATATAAAAAAACAATACATAGTATCATCCATTCATCTTTAGAGTGTCAACAGCAACAAGTACTGTTGGCTCGTCGCAATGTACGAGTAAGTTGTTGATTATATTTTTATCTTTACCGTATGTTATCCTTATTCTTATCTTATCTATAATGTGTATGATAAGAGATACTAAACAAATTACACCTATTAATTATTATTCGAGAATGTTCTAGTTTATATCACTGATATTATTAACATTATATAATATATGACATAATTACTGGTTCAGTATACTATAAAGTAAATACAGTCCTAACCTACTAGGAACGATTTCTAAAAGTAAAGTAATAGCACAAGGGCTACTGTTAGTAATAAAAATTGTTATAAGGTGGCGCTAGTAGTGTGTCAAGAATAAATACATATTTATTGTAAATTAAATGTTTTTGTAATAAACCGCAAAAAGAAAACGAAACGAATAATTCACTAGTACAATCTATGTTTAAGTTAACAGATTTAACAAACCGTCAAATACCTGACAAGGCCTTCATTCAATCATTTTAAGTTGCATATAATCGTACAATTCAAAAAATATACACTGGATTTGATTGCTAGAGAACGTTGCAGGATGATGAACGATATCACGTTGTTTATATAAATGTATTTATCCATCCTACCTTTATAATCTTCTAATAGTTAATGAAAAGTGAAAAAGACAGGTTAGTTCTAGACTAAGTAGCAATACTCCATGTACCTATAATGCAGAAGTGCTAGCAGTGGGAGTGCAATTAGCGCAGTGGCGCCGCCTGCGACTACGTTTCATTTCCACGTTTTATTCCCAACACTTTAGTCTCTACCAGTCCTCACTGCGCTTTTTGTCGGAAATCTTACCCAAATATTAACTGTAGCACCAACGTTCAACGCGTTTTGTTTTCAACAATTTGTAGCTGTTTCCAATCTCGCCATTAGGGCGTCGCCACAAACGTCGTGCATTAATATCAATTACAAAGGTTACTCCACATGTAATTTTGATTGAGTAGGCATTTTAGAACTATGTTATATATTTTGAGACAACATATTTCGCATTTGTACTACATTTTTCATTTGCTACAATATAAAATTCTGTAGCTACTATTAAAATGTACCTAATTATTCTTAGGTATTTTAACGAGTAAAAAACAAACTTAAAAAAACTAATAGCTTACTGTTAATTATATATGTGTAGTGTGTTCTATATTATGTATATTTTCTGAGAATAATATGCTATCGATACTGTCCGTATGTAGGTTATAGCAGCTAAACGCCATTTTCAATTAAGAACCGAAATCCAAATTAATAACCAAATCTGACACCCATTTTTTAAAATCCGTAAAGCTTTTAGATTGTACGCTGTGCTAAAGAAAAAATCACACCCGCTTAAAAACATTTTCCTCCTTCAGTAGTCACGTAATAATATTCAAAATATAATAATTATTTTAATGAGATATACTCCTCTAAACAGACAGACATAATAAGTAACAAATTTTTCATATCAACAACTCTGCGTAATCTCTTGCAATTTCAACGTCTAAATACTGATTTTAAGGATTAGAAACAAAGTACATTCGTAAAAACATGAGGAATATTGGGAAGAGAGAATTAATAACGGTGCGGTGTCCCGGAGGCGCGGCGCGGCCGCCGCGGGCCGCCCTCGCCGTGATGGATGGACTCCAGGGCTCGCGCTCATTCTTTGACTTACGTATGAACTCTTATTAACAAAAATACGAGTATACCATGTTATAGACACAGCCAACAAAATTACAATAATAAGACCGTACAAAATTACGTTTTAAAAAAAAATAGATTTATTAGCGTTTTTAAATGTATTTTTTGAGTTCATTGTATACATTGTATTACTATTGTGTTACATATTCTTTATAAATAATCATGACTTGACTTGACATGACTTGAGAACGGCTGAACTATTTTTTTAAATGTTCGTAATTGTTCAATAAGTGATATCATCAGTGAAATGTCCCAACATATTTATTATTATTTATTATTATTTATTAACATCTGTCGGGACAAATAGTAATTATATAGGAAAACATTGGTCTAGGTATAATTTGCGGTCGATGAGTTTTTAAAGTAAAAATATTTATATGCAAAAAACGCTACAACCTTTACTTTCATTAATCTTTTTACAATGATTAGGAAAATAAAAAATAGAGATATGTTCATATATACTTACATAGTGACAATGTAGTTGTTAAAATTAACAAACTTTGAAACGACTATTGTTACATAACATGTAGTGTAGACGAATTAAAAGTAGGCATTTTCGAGTATCCCATAAATTCATGTTACTTATATTGCTTTCAGTAATATATTACACGTCCTTTTCCGCTCGTCTGAAGGTAGAAACAAACAGTTCGCGGCACAATTTCCCGTGGAAGGTGTCCCGGGCAAGAAGTTAGACGACTCGTTTAAACTTTGTGCAATGATTAGCTGAGGAGGAATTAATGTACACATATATTTATTGAACGCAATCTAAAACTCATCGATTGTTGTTAATAAAAAAAATCATATTTAACTTTCTACTAGATTTGCTTCATTCTTGGATATCTTAATTAAATAAATAAAAAATGTTCTAGTGGGTATAGGTGACTTACATGAAAATCTATTAGGTAGGTACTGTAAGGGAAAATCTTTATGCACCTGTCTGGTAACAGCGCACAGCTGGCGCGGAGGCCGCAGGGACTTGCTTGCCCCGCGCACCCTCACTGGTCACACTGCCCCACGTTACACCCATATGGTTCACAAAGTTTTTCTTAATACATTTTTGTGATCCATAATATTGTATGTATTTTTATTACCTAACTATATAAATAAATGTTTATGAAGAAGAATTTTATAACCAATCATGATCATATAATAATATATACTCCGTAAACTAGCAATTTGAGGCAATGATTTAATTTTATTAAACCTATGTCATTAATAGTTGAAGCATACTATGTGTTTCTATTTAATACTTATTAATAAGAAAATGTTGCTTGAAGCTTTTGATCTGTTAAAGCTATGGCTTCCAGCGGTCGCGGGACACATACATAGGTCACATTCTAACGCGAAGGCGACCTGACTCGCCTTTAGAAATTACTATTCACGTCAGATTCTCAACGCTATAATAAGATTGCAGAGATATGTCTAGAATTTCCCATTGTCTTTGCCTTTTACTATTGTATATCATAAGTGTGTTATAATAGTGTTCACTTCAATTTTATCATATATTTTGTTTTCCAGACTGGATAAAAGAAGAAAGGTAAGTTAGATTAAAGAAGCACTGCACTCACCTACAAACAAATCAGACTCCATTTTTAGTTTAGATAGAAAATCACACCATAAAACCGAATCTAATACCTAATCATTGAAAGGCAAAGGTTGAAAATGCACTAGGTGGTAAATCAAAATAAAATCTTTATTAAAAATTGTAAATGTACATCTGACTATAAATATTTCATTTTGTACGTGATAGAAGATGAATGTGTAATTACGTCATGCTGACGTCTGCAGCCCACGTGAGCCTGCACAGAGTTCCTGGAGGAGTAGTTAGCTACCACGCGCCTACTATCCGCCCTACAATCCACCCTACTATCCAACCAAATACAAGCTGAGTTTTGAAAAGTATTTACTTATCCTAAACATATGCATTATTGTTGATACAGCGTTCCATATACTCGATATTCTTCTACCTATGTATATGTTGTATCAACTAATACCCACTTCCCTTGCGAGCACCCAATAAATTCATGTGTAGTTATTATTCACTAGTCACTAGCGGGTGTGCCGTTTTTAACCACCGAATAAAAGGCTTTTAGAGTAAAATAACAACAACACAGATCACATAATACTATACTGTAATAGGTAGTAACTACCTCAATTTAAATTCAGAAATACCATAGACAGATATGAAATTGTATAGTTCGAATATGTAGTTCATTATTAATTCAACGGCATTAGGTAGGTGTTTAATTTAGAAAAACAACATTTTGGCTTGGACTCAGTTAAATTTTTAAAACACATATATGAGACTGGCAGAACCCGCGGCTTCGCTGGCGTTAAAACTACAACAAAAAAACAAATTCTTTGGCTTTATGTTATAAATAATTAATACAAAAACACTCCCGCTCAATGCGCCCATCTACGATTTTCAAAGGCCTATTTATCTCTGTTGGGGGTGGAATTTCAAAAAACCCTTTCTTAGTGAATACGCACTATACTTCACAAAGAACACACGTTCCAAATATCCTGTCTCTGGTTTCACCATCCGTTTAGTCTGTGCGTTGATAAATCAGTCAGTCAGAACTTTGAATTTTATATGATGATGTTCTCCCGACAGATTCCGGCCACGGCGGCCAATCTCATTAAGACTAGCCAACGAATTTTATATATATATAGATATAATTAAAACAATATTTAAAAAAAATCATCATTTTTTGATCAATTGCTATAATTTTATTTCAAACAAGCGTCTTACCCACGCTTAGCTCGAATGCGTCCGTAGGTACCTTTTTAAATAAATATAAATATGTAGTTATTACGAGTGGAGCGACCTTAGGAGATAGACATAATAACAAACATTTTATTTTTCATTTTTTTATGGTATCTATATTCTGTACACAATACGTTACAGTCATTATTTCCAAAAAATATTTCATGCACAGATTTTGCTAAGTTACTTTACTATATATGACACTGTACTCTGTAGTGACCACATTAAATGACTTTTTTCTATATTTGTCACAGATTACTTATCGACGTGTAACAATAAATCAAGCCTGTCGAGTCGCTCCCGTTGTTTTTCATGTTGCGTCAAGACATCGTTCTCGCAACTTTGAGAAGGGTATCGATTCTATCCGCTTCAGGTCAGCCAATTATTATATTTTACTAGTTATTGTATGAGACCTCCGAATGTACTGCTTGCCGACGACGCATACAACTTTCTTGAGATGTAGTCTATTACATGTTCGAATTAACGTCGTCATAACTACAAAATATGTACGCAGCGACACTGTAGGTGCCAGTTTTCGAAGATACGTAATATTCATATTGAAATGAACTACAATAAGGTTAAATTAAGCAGTATGTATGTACGTACGAGACAGTATGCTCGTAGCAATAATGCACTGAAGGAAGTGCCATTATGTGTATACAACAAGCAGTAAACAGTCTTTATATGATGTTTGCCGCCAAATAGACCGACTAACTATAATGCAATCGTCCAAACGCATATTTTATTAAAATACAATAAAAATAAAAATATTCAAACATATGTATGCATGTATGCATTTAAATATGAAATGATACTTGTCTGATGTACGTTTTTAAATAATTTATGACATGAAAAAGAAGTAGAGATATGCTATCATCATTTTAACGTCATAAGTCGGTCAAATACAAAGCCGACACACGCACTAACGACTCGTACCACCTATATTAATTATAATTTATAATTAAAATAAAAGAGTAATTTTTATCAAAATTACTATTGTTTAATTAAACAACCTTTAACACCACTAATGCGAGTCCGACTCTCATTTGACTTAGGTATTAATTGTATTTGTATTGCTGACATTTAAAATTAAAATCTCTTAAGGGCAAGACAGATCAGGATCACAGTGAATCGACTTTTCGATTAGGTGATAGATCCGACTTGGATAACGTAGGTTGAGAAGTTCAATATTAAGAATTTGCGTGGTTTTTACCTTCACCGACAAAAGAATAGAGACCTAAATGGGTGCCAAGTTCTGTAGATAATCTTGTTTTTTTTTCATAAGAACATACAACATTCTAAAGTAAATTTAAAACACAATTTCTTGTTATTTTCTGCTACAAAAGTTTTACTATTTACGAGGCCTATTACATTATGACCGTGATTTTTCAATAATGTCAGCCGATACAAAGCAAATCACACCGAGTTCGAAAATATTTGATTAGGTATGTGTAGTAAATGAAAACTACTAATCAGTTAGTTTTTACTTTTTAGTGATTATTTTGAAGTCGGTTTTTATTTTTTTTGTTAAAAAGTTTTTCAAGCTCATGGATTAAAATACGAAATAAAAATATATAATAATATCTCGTATATAGTGGTTTTGTTTATATAGCGGACTCTGAATTTGAAAATATGTATTGAATTTCTACAAAAAAATACTATTCAAAATTTTAAAGACTACTAAAAACGTTTAGAATTAGCTGTACATATATCCTTACAACATTAATATCATTAAGTAAAATTTATACCAATATACACTTTTTTTAAAATACTTAATTTATTATAAAAACTACATAGAAGTAATTACACCGGCAGAAAATGCTAGAAACAACGATGCGTCGGCCGCTTGAACTCAATGCCATAGAACGCAGTACATTTTGTGATAGGTCTCTTAAAAATAGAACTTCAGTTGAATTATTTACTCAGAGTAGATAACTTAGGATAAATTGAAGTTCAAGATTTGACTTGGCTAGTTTTTACATACAAGTTATCTTATATTCGGTTAATCACTTATAGGTATCTTCTTACGTATGCAAGTTACTGCTTTATATTGTAAGGTCAACATGTCTCACTCTACTAAAAAATTGCTTTACTGGTAAAAACATGTCTAAATCTGACCAATCTGTGACTGTTTCACAATTTAACGGCTTTTATTATGTAGCGAATTTTGTCAAAATTTCTTAATTCATAATATTACTGAATGTGCTTAGGGGGAAACTAAAACGAGCGAAACGAGGGTAAGTCGCTAATTATAAACATAAACACCCATGACTGAAATACAAACATTCGTGCTCATCACACAAACGAATGCCCCTAGCGGGACTCTAACCCGCGACTATTCACACATCAAGTAGGGTCACTACAAACTGAGCAAAACGTGGCGTTAATACAACGAAAATCCTAAATTCGAAATAATTTATTAATTGTATTCACTATTCGAGGCTACGGTAAAGGAGCTCCACAGCGCCTTATAAATTTCAATATCAACGTATTCGATATGTTTGTGGGACAATTGCTGTTTAATTTCCGCACGAACTCGACTCCGACCTTATTCCATTCTTCTCGAACTCGCTTACTTTTATTTGTGGGAAATATTGGTGGATATCTTAAATGAGTAATGGACGAAAGAGAAAAAACGCGCGCAAAGTTTATAGTGAAATGAGCGGATAATGAGTTGTTGTCTAGAATAAGAGGCAATTTATTTAGAACTTGTGCCTGATAAAATTGTACCTGCGTGTTTAAGATACCAACATTTGATATTAGAGTGGCAGACCATTTAATTGGTAACACGCAGAAACTATATAGAAATGCAAAGCTTGCTTTGATAACATAATTTTGCTTTTATTTGGAATAGAGTTCAAAACCTGGGCCTCGGCCTTTAACTGTGAATTACATTTTACCACTTTGATTACCTTTTGCACCAAAATGTATAATGACTTAAAGAATACTACTTATATAAAGAAGACATATTGAAAATGATTTTTAAAAAAGGGTAATATTTTGTTAAATAATAAACATTTTTTAATATGAACAGTGTAATTAAACTATGTATTATTATTATTAACCTAGTATGTAATTTAACTTCGATGACGCAAAACATAGCAACGCTGCCTCGCTGCTGAGTGTTGAAGGTCAAAATAAAAAAAAATTATGCTATACTACAGATAAAAACGGGTTTAGTTTTTACATATATACAAATAAAATTTGAGTATTCTTGTTTGTTCGTTTAAATAGTTCCGTAAAAAAAATATAGATAATAATTAAATACTGAATAAAATAATTTTAATTTGAAAGTTATAATAAACGGAGGAACTTCTTCTATTGTCTTACATATAATCTGCCGACACAAATATAAACAACTGGTTTGCATAACTCATCTCAGATTGTCTCTACCCGCAGACTATTATATTTTCGCTTATTTCTCATGAAATTTCTCGGAAGTAGTAGCAATTATTATTGTCCTAGACGTTGTTTTGATAATTCCTCACGAGGAGATTTCGAGGAAACTGAATTCCTGTACAGCCATCGAAGAAAACCTTTAAGAAAACTTTACAATTTCTTGAGCTCAATAAAAATATGTTTCGTCCTAACATAAAATAATTTTTGGTATTGTTTTTATAATCATTTCATATTCACTATATTATAATAATTCACTATAATTAAAATATAAAAATTGTGTAATCATAATATAGTAACCAAAGCAATAAAAGGTTAACAATGTCGAAACTTCCTACCAGCGATTACGTATGGACGCGTCAGTAACAAGAAATTCATCGAAATGGGTAACCGAGTCAGGTGACCACGACGTACTGTAACAAAGTAGTGCAGTGGCCTCGAGCGAAGCGTTCAGACATGCAGCTCTACACGCGCAAGGAGATCGAGGAGCGGAACCGTGCAGAAAACGCGGCTATCATCATAGACAATAATGTGTACGATGTGTCGAAATTTCTAGAAGACCACCCGGGCGGCATCGAGGTGCTGCTAAACAACGCAGGCAAAGACGCCTCGCGGTGTTTCCACGATGTCGGCCACTCCGAAGACGCCAAGCTGTGGCGCAAGGAGTTCAAGATCGGCGAAGTAGTCGAAGCTGACCGCTGGGAGGTCATCAGCAAAACTACCAACATTACAGAAGACGAAGATGTTTGGACACTTCGGGGTCTGCTGGACGTGTGGATGCCGCCGCTGGCTTTCGCAGCCATAGCTATTTTCGTATATGTGTATTTGTTTTAGTACGACTTATCTAAAATAACATTCAAATTAGCAAAATTAGTGTTAGGACTTGCGAATAAAAACGAAAGTGATAATATACTCTTTATTTTACGGCAAAATGAAGCGCTATTAGAGGTATCGATGAGGTCAAGTAATGGTATACTTTGTATATAATGTCGCGTCGTGCGCCGGCCGCAGCGGCCGCAGGGGCCGCGTTGTTGAGGATATGTTCAAGCATGCGTTGCTATTATGGGTGTATTGTTGTGAAGAACGCGTACTAAGACACAAAATAATTATTGGACGTATCTTATAAAGAATAATCAAGTAGAAATTATTGAAATTTTCGGTTGGTTGTGGAATAGAAAAAATAAACCGAATGTATTTTATACTAATTTTGTATTTATTTTATTTAATATTATAGCAAAACATGAAATCGAAGATGTATGTATGATAATTTTGTTCATAAAATCTTGATGTTTTATAATAATTTTATTACGGGTCATCATGTTATAACTAATAATTAATATTTTATAGGTAAATAAAATGATGCTTGTTTAACGCTGTTCTTTAATTGTACTCGTAACATGCAGAGCAAGCTTTAAATTATACGTAGGTAAGTACCTATTAAAAACAAATCAACACCAGTATTTATTTATAATAAAAATGAATAAACAACACCTCACAGTGAGGTCAAGGCCGCTTGCGCACGCGCAAATTACTATGTGCTAGAGTAAAGTTATATAAAGTAATGTAAAATAAAAAAGTATATGAAAACAAATACTATACAATTTGCATTGTCCAATAATATGCATATGACATTTCGCTCGAGGCGAATGTTTTCAAAACAATATTATGAAGATAAGTCTGTCACAGAATTATCTTCATATTGTTTTTGACCGGATATACAGATAGAGACTGGTCGTCCTTAGCACCTAGAACTACACAAATATACATCTAAGGGCACGGTCCAATGATTTTAAATATGTAATAATTGTTTTTATAAGTCATAAATTTAAAAGTATTAAAATATATTATCAAAAACAACGTCGTGTCGTCGAGTCATGCTGACGCAGCGCGTAAACGAGGCTCTAGATCAGCCATACTCAACCTTTTTTTTATAGGAGCCACAAACACGTTTCAGACATGGTGTCGAGGGCCGCAAGCAAAAATTATTTAGGTCTTAATGAAAACGTAATTCCAAGTTAACGATGTAGTTACTTTTTTAACAAAGATATGTTAAAATGCGATTTTTGATGCTGCCGCATGCGGCCCGCGGGCCGTTTGTTGAGTATAGCTGCTCTAGATAATGATATGATAGTGGAGGTGGATGGATGGAGAGGTGGCGGGGCGCGGCGGAGAGCGCTGAACGCTGCCACGCGTGCATTCAGTGGCGGCTCGCCGGGTCAAGAACTCGCTAGCTTACGAAATGACGCTCAAACAATTCAAACGTAATGAGATCGCAGAGCGCAAGACTAAAAATGACGCAGTGTTTGTTATTGATAATGAAGTATACGACGTGACCAAGTTCATGGACGACCACCCGGGCGGGCACGAGGTGCTGCTGAACGCGGCGGGCCAGGACGCCAGCGAAGACTTCCACGACATCGGCCATAGCCTCGACGCCAAGGAGCTTATGAAGAAGTTCCTCATCGGGGAGGTCGTGCCCGAAGACAGGATCGAGTCTAAAAGGGAGAAGAACATTTGGAATGTGGAGGGATCTGACAGCGACGGCGGCAGCTTCTTCACATCGTGGAAGTTCCCGGTGGTACTGGGCCTGCTCACCACTGTGCTCTACACTTACTTGTTCGGTTAACGCCACTGAAGAATTTCATTGTGATATCTAATAAAATATTCAACAAGTGATTATGTGCTTGCGGAAAATCGAAATTCTTACATTGGAACTTATAATCGTATGGGGCTGTTGTTATTGAAACTTTCATGTTTTACTGTTGTCAATTAGTTTCTAATTTTATTACATTATTTTAATATAAATTTTTTTTTTTAGTTTTTACATATTGCTAGAGCGGAAGTACGAATTATACGTGTGTACATAATAGTATAGAACCTCAATTTAAAAAAAAATGTTATTAATAAAATATAAAGGCTTTTTAAGCCTTCCAATCGAGCACAGATTACTTCACCAATGTCACGTAGAATGGAGGAAACACGAAGGGGATTGGTCGGTAAATTGATTATTAAAACTATATTATTTGTAAAAAGTTGTAAATCCTTAATAAACCTTAGGCCTACAAAAAAGACAGCACAATTAATATATGCATAAAAATCTTAATCAGAGATAAGTGGTAGTATAGAATTTATTATAAGTACTAAGATAACCCTGGCCACTTGAAAAGTAAATGAAATATAAATAGTAAATAACTATACAACATAAGAAGTACTTGAGTATAAGAATAAACTTCATATAATTGTAGGCGACGTACGGACAGACAGTGCGGACCATCGCTTGCCGGAAGCATAGCTACAGACGCGGAAGCGGGCCTGCGAAATCGTGTTGTATTCATTTTTTGTCAGCTTAATGAACTAAACGATTGTATTTTTTTTGTTATTCGCATTAATATTGTATATAAATACATCATCCAGAGCGTCACGATGATCGTTATGATGCTCGCCTGATGTTCTTTGGAGAACTCAATTAGTTTAAATGGGCTTATCTAATATAAAATTGTTAATTGTACACTACTTTTAGTATTTACGTACGTACTGAGTACTCTGCATTTTATTGTCCTTTGTCCTAAGCCAATAGACTTTGAAACTGAATAAACAGATAATTTATCACCCGCTCTATGTACATAGTAGTGTTGTGTTAATAACTATAATTCGAGAGCATTAGTGATGTTTTAAGTAGCCAGAAGAAAACGTAAACTATATTAAAATGCTTTAAATAAAATGTATAAAACCATTCATTAACTTATTTGTGTTGGCTTCTTTGATTTTATCTTCGCTACAATAGCAACAAAATATAGTTTATGTGACGCTTAATCGCAATTCAATAACATACAAACATCTTAATTAAATTGAACTCACCATCTTTGACCAGTACAATCATTAGTGAGTTGTACAATCTAAGCTGAGACCTCGACCGTAACAAATAGTGCCAGCGACAGCAGTAGTTAGGTACGAGTAGGTACTAACTATATCCGTAAAAACTAAACATTAGAATAAGAACATTCAGCAATCAGCATAGTCTTTAAATTTTACGTACCAATTTCAATACCTCATTTTTTTACTTTGACAATTTTTGAACATTATCGTATATATGTAGGTATACAAAGAGGTTGCTGGTATAACTGCATATGTTTACTAAAGCCTGTACTTTTATAAAACAAAAAGTATATAGCAAAAAGATTTCAACGCATGTCGCGTGCTATTTACAAAAAATGTTTTCTCTTTTCAGCTATCTCACAAACCGAGCAGCCTATAAAATAACACTAGACCGTCCTGTGCGGAAGCAGTAGTTTTGTGTGCACAAAACATACACAATACAATTTTCTTAAGCGTCCAGTGGATATGCTTTTGTTTCAGTAACGCAAAAAAATTGATAGACTAATAGTATACAAACTTATGCGTAGCCTATGGTATCCTCGGTTTTTATTTTGGGAAATGTATTTACGCATACCATCTGTAGGCATTGTAGAGTTATGTGGGACTCATCAGCTAGAAAGGCCGATAAAACCCAACAAAACCTCCCCCGTCTTAATGGGGCGTCGCAGGAACACTTACGCACTCAACTACAACGCCTAGATAGCAGGTCTGCCGAAACAGATCACAACAACCATGGGGTTGCTCCAACGAAACACTCTGCCATCAGAGAAGTACCAGAAGCAACCCGCATGATACACAGACCACAGTCCACCGAAGCGAACCTCCTCCCTGTGCGTTTCTTGGCCTCGCGCCCGGTTGGACTGCCGAAAATCCACAGATCTCGTGTTTGCTACGACCTTTGAATACATTGAAAATGAATCTGGCAAATAAACTGAATTAAATTTTTATTTAAATTAATTAAGTAGGTAGGTATATTTTGGTAACTACTTATGTGATAGATTAAGCGTAGGGCTGTCCGGCGTTCGGTCACACCGCGGCTTTTTTCTTACTTTCAACATTTATACTCGTATACCCGTCGTACCTTCTAAAGTCTAAACGAAAGGTCCGATTCGAATAATTTAATCCCTTCACGAGCGCGGACACGCCGGCGTGTCAGTTAACAATAGATTTCTTAGTAGTTTAATTAATTTCTTAGAAATTTAATTAATTTCTTAGAAATTTACCTGAAGGTGTTAAAGAGGAATCTATTTACATAATCCACCTTGATTATAAAAGTATTTAGTTGGATAAGGATCGCGACACGAATGTCATCATCTTTCGATTTTACCCGTGTTTCGACTTTCGATTGACTAATTTGAACAGAAAGTATTGTGTCTTAACAATTATAGACTTTTTTGTGGGTAATGATGAGAAGTACCTACTATAAATATGTAGAACATTAATTTGTGTATCATCAATAGTTTTCGCAGCACACACCAAATAATTTGGATCTTACAGGAAGATTTTTGATACCTTTGGTTTGAATTATTGCAATTTTCATAGGATGTCTAATCTTTTTGAAAATAAAATACAACCTTATGTGACTCGTTAATAATGTATCTTTCTATCTGTATCTCTTCTAGGTGAAAGAATTTTCAGAATCGGTTAAGTAGTTTTTGAGTTTATCCATTACAAATACATAAACATACAAAAAATCAAATCTTTTCTCTTTATAATATTAGTTTAAATATAAATTTGATCAAGATCCAGATTTTAGTGTCAAAAATATGATTAATCAATATTAATATTCTTGTTATTAAAAAAAATAAACCAAATTTCTTTATTCCGGATACTACTAGGGAGGAAATAGTATGAAGAAATCTCGCCAGTCGTGTCGGATTCTCGTCTCATAAAATAATGAACTAGTACGTATAATGGTGGCATCTGTAATTATATAATTTGAGACTAAAGGAAAAAACCAATGTTTCTACAAACCACCACTATATTTTCTCACGAACACTGCACTATAGTCTCAGTGAGATTAAGCACCGTGACTAAACTCGATAAACATGACACAAACGGTCTAAATAAAAAAATTGCCAAAATTTAATTTAAAGCGGTCAGTAGATATCTAGTATAGAATTAGATATAGAAACATTTATCTAAAGATACTTAATAGAATTAGGTAGCTTGCTAAATGGATTCTACTAATTTAAGCCGATTACACCACCGCGTGTGTTATCACATTCGGTTTCAGTATTATTATTTAAAGTATTACACACCTATCAATAAATGATATCATGCGAATGTCGTTCATAAGCTGAAATTATCGCGGATTTGTTTGGCAATACAGAGTAATTTTTAACATTGAAATAATCGTAAAATAATATGGTGGGTTACAACAGCATATACAAATATGTATTACTTAATTACTCTATGTTTACAGCATAAGTGCCCCTCGTCACTCGTTACGTGCCTGACGCCCGACGGACCCTGTGCCAATAGTCACTCCGGCCTGCAGTCTACCCCTGCAGTCTACTCCGGGTTGAAAGTCAGCAAATATTGAAAGGGTGATTCGTAATATCGCTTTTAGACTACTAATATAAATATTAAAGATAATATCTATTGGATATCCTTCAAAGAAACTATACCTATCAACCATTTTGTAAAAATAATACCACTGCAGCTATGCTCCATGTTCCCTGTGTGAGCTAGTGTAAAAATGTTATCTAAAGACATTTTCTCCAGATACACAGTTTTTATACCATAAGATTCTTTAAAATTGTAGGTACTAACATTATATTCCGGGCGAAGGCGGGTGAAGTGAAGGGAGTACAAATAAACATTAAAACTAGTTTACATAATATTGTATAACACCGTAAACGAAATAAAAACTTTTTAACAAAAAAATAAAAACCGACTTTGCTTTGTATGGGCTGGCACCGATTTTGAAAATTTTTGATTAGGTATGTATTTAATAGATAGGCTTTAATTACTTGGCTTTTATTTTTTTTAGGGAAAGTTTTTATTTTCCCTTTTTAGTGTAGACAGTAGTAGTAAAGTAAGAATTCTAACGTGTTAGGCTTGTCAAATCAAACAAAATAAGCCCAAACCCAAAGTATCTACTATTAGTCGTTGAAGAGTTCCACCTATCCACCTTCTGGCCTTATCATCAACAATACCGAATCGCTGTATTATCAACGGAAATAGAAACACTTGCAAAGTTTCAAGTCAATATGACAATTAGAAGTAGGTTAAATTCATCATTAGCTATTTTTCCACCCTTAAGGGTGGTATATTTTTTTTGAAATTTAAATGGGACCAATCTGGAAGTATACACTTTCAAACAAAACAAAAATTGTCCAAATCGGTTAATAAATTACGGAGTTCTGAGGTAACAAGCATTAAAAAAAAGTACAGCCGACCTTCTCCTTTTTGAGGAAGTCGGTTGAAAATAACCACATTTCAGGTTCAATTTCAAGTTTCTATACGGTTTGTCATATTATTATAAGCAATATATTATTACAAACCCTTTTCCATCTCATTTTACCATATTAAATATTAATTTCATTCCAAAAGTAACCTTTGTCCGGCTCGTTAGTATTCATATACCTAATCCTCACGATAATTTTCACCAAAATAATTTTAACCAAAAAAATAATTCGAGATAATTCGTGTTTAAAATATTAATACTACCGATGACGACTTAACAATTTATACATTTTTCGTGACATCTGATAACAAAAATTAATGACGGCGAACACATAA